TAAAGGATTTTCACTTTGTAAAGGTGAATAAGAACTTGAAATAGGGAGAGGATACTGGATTGCCCAGATGGGTACTAACTGTAATCACAAGCATCCTTATATGAGAGAGCAGAGGGGAGATTTTACCACACAAAAGAAGGTAATGTGATCATGGAAGCAGAGATTTGAAGACGCTGTGCTGATGGCTTTGAAGATGGAGAAAGGAGCCGTAAGTCAAGGAATGCACCTTCAAAAGCTGGGGAAAAGCCAAGAAATGAATTCTTTCTCCCCTAAAGCCTCTGGTATGGCATAGCTGACAACCAAGTTTAGGCCCAGTGAAACTGACTTTGGATTTCTCTCCTCCAGAACTGTAACAGAACACATTAGTGTTCTTTTAAGCCACCAGTTTGTGGTAATTTGTTATGGCATCACAGCAAACTAGTACATACCTGATTCATGTTTCTTTCTCTGCAGACTATTTACTTCCATTTCTCTCTGCACAAAGAAAGTAATGGCTGCTTCAATTGTTCAAAAATATATGTATATTTCAATCATAAATATATTCAACAAATATATAACTATATACATACATATATATAGGATACATTCAAACATTTGAGATATACATTATTTATTTGTTGTTGCTGTTGTTTTTTACTAAGTCATATCCGACTCTGTGCAACCCCATAGACGTTAGCCCGCAGGTTCCACTGTCTATGGGATTTTCCAGGTCAAAATACTGGAGTGGGTCGCCGTTTCCTTCTTCAGGGGATTTTCCCCACCCAGGGATCGAACCTGAATCTCCTACATTGGCAGGCAGATTCTTTACCACTGAGCCATCTGGGAAGCTCCATACATTATTTATATCAACATTTACCTTAAATTATCTGAGTTCTAAATCAAAATTTCTGAAAAGAGGATCAGATTGGTCTAATTGAGGTTCATGATGTCCTCACCTGATTCACTTATTTGTAAGAGGAAGGCGCTGGCAAGAGGTAAACTGCCCTCTGGCCACACAGTCACTGAGCCAGTGCAATGGATACAAGCATCCAAAAGAGAGCTTAGGAACAGGGAGAAAACAAGAGGCATCAGAAGACACTACCAGCTGGCCCTGGGTCATCTAGCTTCATAGACAAAGATGAAAACCTTAAGAATTAGCAGGAAATCCATCATGGGAGAGCAGGTAGAGAAAGTGCTGTCTTCAGAATGGATTCAGAATATTATAAAAGAACATTGTCCATCAAAAGATCGAGCAGTGGACAAATGTGTAAAGATCAAAAGAAGATAAAAAGAATCACCAGGAATGAAGCATTCATATAATTTCTGATCCATACTCATAATCAAACACTAATTAAGATGGAATTTTGAACAATATATCTTAGTGTCCTAAGGTACCATAACAAAATTAGTAGCTTAAAACAATACAGATTCATTATCTTATATTCTGTAGGTCAAGAGTCTAATACAGATGTCACCCAGCTAACATCCGCAGGTTATATTCCTTTCTAGGGGCTTTAGGGGGAAATCAATTTTCTTCTCATTTGGATTGTTGACAGAATTCATTTCCTTGAAGTTTAGGACCAAGGCCCTATTATGTTGCTGACTATCAGCCAAGGACCAGTCCCAGTTTCTAGAAGGTGCTGCAGTCCTTGGCTCATTCCGCAACTTCCTCCACCTTCAAAGCCAACAACAGGGCTGCAAGCCTCTCTCTAATGTGTCAGATCTCTGCCCCTTCTTCTTCCATCTCCTCTCCGACTCAGCTGGAAAAAGTTCTTCCTTTTTAAGGATTTATTTGATTGGACTAAACCCATGCAAATAATCCACAATAACATCACCAACTCAAGGTCCACATCCTGAGCTACTTCTGTAAAGTCCCTTTGGCAACTAAAGTAGTGTAGAGCTGACCCTCCACATCCTTGAGTTCCACATCCGCTGATTCAACCAACTGTCAATCAAAAGCATTGGAAAAATTAAATTCCAGAAATTACCAGATAGCAAAATTCAAATTTGCCTCACGCTAACAACTGTTTGCATAACATTTACATTATTAGGTTTTATAGGTAATCTAGAAATGATGCAAAGTTTCAAGAGTATTGTGCACAGGTTTAGAAGCAAATAAAAAAAAAAAAAACAAAGTTGCTCAGCTATGTCCGACCCTTTGTGACCCCATGGACTATATAGTCCATGGAATTTTCCAGGCCAGAGTACTAGAGTGGGTAGCTGTTCCCTTCTCCAGGGCATCTTTCCAACCCAGGTATTGAACCCAGGTCTTCTGCTTTGCGGGCAGATTTCTTTACCAGCTGAGCCACAAGGGAAGCCCAAGAATACTGGAGTGGGTAGCCTACCCCTTCACCAGCAGATCTTCCCAATCCAGGAATCAAACCAGGTTCTCTTGCATTGAAGGCGGATTCTTTACCAACTGAGCTATCAGGGAAGCCCTTACTATGCCATTTTATATAAAGGTCTGGAGCAGCAAGAAATTTTAGTATGGGGATCTTGTAAGTAATCCCTTTCAGATACCAAAGGGATGAGTGTAATACAGATCATGGGTATATTATATTCACAGGACAAGGATACCTTTAGGTGCCATTATTCTGCTTACTAATGTTAAATTGCTAGTAGTAATGATGCAGAATGTAAGAGTAAACAAGAGGACATAGTATGTTTTTTTTTTTTAAGCAAATACTGAATCTTAAACTGTCTTTCATCATTTGTAGCCAGAAGAATTTACAAGCCCCAGAGGATGAAGAAAGACTGAAAAGCAGCAAAATTATTGGGAAGTTCCTATTTTAGTGAAGTGTTTGCTTTTATTTAAATTATCATCAAGTAAAGATAAATATAGTTGGCCCTTTGTGCTATTTTAACTTTTCATTAATCTATTAATTCCAAAAGCCCATTCTGGTATCATTTAAACAAAAAAGAAAATCCTGAACAAATGAGGTCATTTAAATATGAGGTAGGTACCCATATAGAGCGAGTCTCAGGTTGGACAAGTCTTGAAACTGAAAGTACAAGACTTCATAAACTTTGAAAAATCATATAAATATACTGTTTTTTATGTTGTTTGATATTATTCTTAAGATCAGTACTTACACTACCAGGTAATGATATTTATTTCTACAGTGATTCCAATTAGATTAACTTGGAAAATGGGAACTGCTTGTCCCAAATTTTAAGACAACTAGAAAAGTCTTCCCTCTTCCTGTACTCACCTGTGGCTAATGCTTCAAACTATTGTTTTTTGATATGGGAAATGGAGGCAGAAAATATACCAAACTAACTTGTAGACATTTTAGACAGTATCCACCTGTTAGAAAATGTATATTCCTACAACTACGGAGAGGGTCTTCCCAGGTGGCATTAGTGGTAAAGAACATGCCTGCCAACGCAGGAGATGCAGGAGAGGCTAGTTCCATCCCTGGATTGGGAAGATCCCCTGGAGAAGGAAGTGACAACTCACTCCAGCATTCTTGCGTGGAGAATTCCATGGACCAGGCATCAGAGGAGCCTGGAAGGTTAGTCCATGGGGTCTCAAAGTGTCCGACCGGACTGAGTATGCAAAAACAGGCAACTACGGATAAAAGCCATCTTAACCAGAGAACCACTGTGTTATGTAAGGAACTCATCTATCCATTTATCAGCTAATTCTCACATATTCCTTCCTCCAGACTCAGCTGTAACAGATTTCTCAGTGAGAAGAACTGTGAATATACATCCCAATCAAATCACAAAAATTCTCAAAGGAGTCAGTGAACTATACCAAGGCATTTATTTGGAGTGTGTCCAAAGTTTAGCTAAGCAGTATGCCCTCTGGGAGCGCATGATTCTGACTTCTATGGTCTCCGCTCCCTGCCCTGCAGTCCCACCCAGACCCGCACCCCAGATGCAGCGCTGCGCGGGAGGGCCCCACCTGCTCTTCCTGCCGCACTGGAGCAACCGGGCTCCTCTCCGAGGCACATCCCCACGGTCCCTGCCGGCCGCCCACCCTCTTCCTCAGAGACCTGCTCCTGTACCTGGACGAGCTGTCACTGGGCCGCATGATGCTGGAGCTGCAGGCAACCATCCTCAGAGATAGAGAACTTCAGAGCCATGTTCACCGGGCAGAAGAACTTCAGCTACAAACAGCCTTTCCAAGAGCAATTCCGTCCTTCCTACACCAGGCTGGCGACCTCACCCACAGCACGGGCACAGGCAAGAGACATCCATGCTTGGAAGCCACGTTTCTGCAGAGAACTGCAAACTGAAGCACCTGTGGCTTCAGGCGTCCTGTCCACCGTGCCTGCAGGCCCCACCACCAGTGGGCTTCCAGGTCTTCATTTGTACCCTAAAGGTAAACTGGCTGGAAAGCAAACTGTGTTGTCAAAGGGGGCGTGAAGAAGATAGAATCTCAGTTCCAACAGTGGGAATGAGGTAGGAGACAGATGGGCCTCTGGGCCGGACACCAGGTGTTTGTCAAGTGGAGTACTTTGTTCTCACCCAGAAAGTCCAAAGACAAGTGGCAAAAGCTGAGCTTAGTTAAGGTAAAGAGATAAGATGTCTACCCTTAGAGGTCAAGGAAGACTTCCCTGTCTGCACATGCGCAGGAAGCCTTCCGGAGGGTCAAAAAGGGAGGGGGCCCCACCCCATAATAAGTATGGACAGGAACCCACAGGCCTCTGCAGTGGGACCTATCTTAGAGAAAAGTTGCTTATATATATTGAGGAGGGTTCACGGACCAGTCAGGTGTGAAGAAAGAAACAAGATAATTGGTCAAATGTAAACGAAGACCCAGAAGGTCTGTCGTATGTAGGTGATTTAGGTCACCTTACTGGGATCCTCATCCAGGTCTCCCGCACTCCATCACAGACTGTGGCCACTTGAGCTAACCCGCCACCTCTGGGAAGGGCTCTCAGAAACACTGGACCTCACCGGACCTGTTATAGCCAAGAACAAAATCTGACTGCAGGTAGGATTTTTGTTGTTTTACTTTAACCTTTGCTTCCCGTTGGTTTTGTTTATCAAAAGAATACTGTCCATACACAATGGCCTGCCCCGAGGAACCCGAATCTCTCTGCCTGAAGGTTAAACCAAAGTTCCTTTGTTCAGGACCTTGTCCAGCTGTAGGTGGTAGCAAGAGAGAAGAAATTAACACCTCACCCCCCACCTTTGCCTCAGGGCTGGCCATTCCAGGAGATATTTGCACGATTAATAGTCCTTTTACTTTACTTCCTCACCTCCTCCTGCTCTGTGTTCAACAAAAGAAACTGGCTACATACCCCAGTAAAGTGGCTAATTTGAGACACTAGTCAACTATCTTCTTGGTCAGCTGGCTTTCCAAACAAAGTCACATTCCTTTCCTCAACACCTCATCTCCTGACTTACTGGACTGTTGTGCCACCAGCTGACAGAGTGAGCTTGGACTCAGTAACAGACCTACCAGGCTGCTTTCCCAGGACCCCGTTTCTGAACACCCTTCTTGGACACTGTCACCACTCTTGTCAGGCACCACCTATGATCACCTGGCCCAAGTTCATCTATGCCTTGGACGCCGGGGTGCTGGTGGGTTAACTTAGAAGGCAATTTCTAACTTTTCTTTGGCGGAGGGGGCAGGCCAGTTGCTGCAAAGGGCTGTAATACCTTTTTAATGTAGTCTTCCTAAATTAGAGTAATTTAACAAGACTGCCTGGAGGACTTCCCTGGTAGTCCAGTGGTTAACACTCTGCTTCTACGGCAGGGCATATGGATTCTATCCCTGCTCTAGGAACTAAGATCCTACATGCCATGCAATATGGTCAAAAAAAAAAAAAGTTAACTGAAGCTGTGGCATTAACTGCTCCATGCTTTGGTATGACCTGAGTTGATAAAATAGAACAGATCCCCAAAACTTGGCCTTTGGAGCACAATTCAGGCTTTTTTATCACATAGAAAGTGAAGTCGCTCAGTCATGTCCGACTCTTTGCAGCCCCATGGACTGTAGCCTACCAGGCTCCTCTCTCCATGTAACTTTCCGGGCAAGAGTACTAGAGTGGGTTGCCATTTCCTTCCCCAGGGGATCCTCCCAACCCAAGGATTGAACCCAGGTCTCCCGCATTGCAGGTAGACGCTTTACCATTTGAGCCACCAAGGAAGCCCTTTGGGTCACATGGCTGAATCCCAGCACCATGAATCCCGGTGGTTTGGAGTGAGTCCTTGGGGGTAGAAGCAGCTGGAACCTGGGAACAGACCCACTGCAAGCTGTGCATGGTCAACGTGAGTTCCCAAGTTGAGAACAGAAATGGCCTGTACGTGCCTGGTACTCTAGAAGGAAGATTGTAAAGAATCTGCCTGCACTGCAGGAGACCTGATTTTGATCCCTGGGTTGGGAAGATCCCCTGGGGAAGGAAATGGGTACCCACTCCAGTATTCTTGCCTGGAGAATCCCCATGGACAGAGGAGCGTGACTGACTACAGTCCATGGGATCACAGAGAGTCAGACACAACTGAACGGCTTTCACTTTTCACTTTCACTCTGGAAGGAACTCAGTGTATATTTTCTGGTGGGCTATGATTTTTTGTGTGTGAGTTTAATACCTTAAATCTACTGATTATATACACAATATACTTAATTTAGTTTTTCTCTGAACACCTTTCTCAGGTTCCATTTTCAAATTTATAACTAAATTAAATATTCTTTGAATATTTAAATTTTTATTGAAGTACACTTGATGTACAATATGAGTTCCATGTGTACAACATAGTAATTCACAATTTTTACAGCTTATTGTTAACATATTTTTTATAAAATATTGGCTCTATTTCTTGTGTTGTACAATATATTCTCATAGCTTATTCATTTTGTATGTAATAATTTGTACTTCTGAATTCTCTACCCCACTATTCCTTCTCTCCCAATCCCTCTCCCCACTGGTAACCACTAGATTTTCTATATCTATGAGTATGTTGCTTTTTTCTTAAATTCACTTTGTTGTATTTTTTAGATTTCACACATAAGTGAAATCATACAATATTTGTCTCTGTCTGACTTATCTCACTTAGCATAATGTCCTCCAGGTTCCTCCATGGTGTTTCAAATGGTAAAATTTCTTCCTTTTTTAAGGCTGAGTAGTATTCCAATGTGTGCGTGTGTGTGTGTGTGTGTGTGTGTATCACATCTTCCATCTGTTGATGGACACTTAGGGTGATTCCATATCTTGGCAATTGTAAATAATGCTACTATGAACTGTGAACATGGGGTGCATGAGGTGTCCTCAAACATCACAGTGAAAGCTATTCACTCTTATGAGGAAGACTGAGAGTGATCTAGGGGGTTCAAGATTGTCAGTTTGATCTAGATACACCAGATGTCTCCACATCAAGTTGCCATAAAGGAAAAATTCTTTATGATCCTGATCCATTATCACAGATCAGATGATAACAGGTAGAGATGGAGCCCAGTTCAGTTCAGTCACTCAGTTGTGTCCAACTCTTTGATGTCTAAATTGGTCATAGCTTTTCTTCCAAGGAGCAAGTGTCTTTTAATTTCATGGCTGCAGTCACCATCTGCAGTGATTTTGGAGCCCAAGAAAATAGCTGAGAAACATAAATTGATAACTGGCAGACATGTAATTAGAAATTCAGAAAGAGAGGTGGTAGAAGGAAAAAAAGAATAAGTGCAATACTTTAAAGTGATAATGGCCAAGAATTGAAACTTCTCCAAAGAGGTAGGGGTATATACATGATTTTGGCTATGTACAATCCAGCATATATTATAGTAGAAGGTGGCTAGTGACTTAATCCTTGTAGAATTGGATGACAAGTGACACTTCTTGCTTTACCTACTTAAATAGCCAAGGAAGGCATACAAATAACCAACAAGTACATGAGAAGGTGCTTGACATAACTAACCAACAGGGAAAGCAAGTCAAAGCCACAATGAAATAACACCTAACACCTCTTAGGATGGCTATCATCAAGAAAGGCAACAGATAATAAATGTTGACAAGCATGAAGAAAAAGGGAACCCTGTGTATTGTTGGTGGGAATGTAAATTGGTATAGGTACTATAGAAAATAATATGGAGGTTCCTCAAATTTTTTAATAGAATAATCATAAGATCCAGTAATTCAATTCCTGAGTATATATTCAGAGGACAAAATTGGTATTTCAAAGAGATAGCTGTAATTTCATATTCACCAGCCAAAATATGGAAACAACATAAGTGTCCACTTATGGGTGAATGGATAAAGAAGATGAGATAGATGATATATAGATAGACAATATTATTTATTATTTATTCAAACTTTCAAAGAAGAAAATCCTGACTTTTGCCATAGCAGGGATGAAACTAGAGGACATTTTGCTACGTGAAATTATCCAGAAAGAGGGGATGAAACTAGAGGACATTATGCTAAGTGAAATTAGCCAGAAAGAGAAAGAGAAAAACTGTATGATCTCACTGATTACATGGGATAAAAAATAAATCAAGTTCATTAAAACAAGAGAGTAGAGTATTGGTTACTAATGTCTGGGAGAGAGGGAGATACGAAGATGCTGATCAAAAAGCATCAATTTTCAGTTATAAGATGAATAACCTCTGGGCATTCATAGATCATAGTGATAGTAGTTAATAATACTGTATTATGTGCTTGATACATGGTAAGATGGTAGACTTTAAGATCTCACACACATAAAAATCATAACTATGTGAGGGCAGATCTGTTCAATAACCCGACTATGATATTTATTTCACAGAGGTTGTGTATGCCAAATCATCACATTGTGCACTGTAAACCTATACTGTCAAATATACCTCAACAAAGATGAAAAATGAAGATAACTTAGGTGATTCCACCATCTACGCACTTAAAAAAGAAATAACTGAAAAGACCAAGTGTTTGCAATGGTGTGGAACTACGGGCCTCACACAGTGACTGATACAAAGAAAAATAACAGAACAACTCTGGGAAACACCTTGACAGTTTCTTACAGCGTTAAACATATTTACCATGTGACTCGGTAATTAAACTCCTAGAAATGAGTCCAAAAGAAAAGAAAACAAATATTCATATAGAAGCATGAACTCAAATGTTCATAGAAGCTTAATTCATAATAAACAAAAATTGAAAATAACTCAGGTGCCCATCTTCTGGTGAACAAATAAGGGAACTGTGTGATCAAGCAACTACTGACGCCTAAAACACTCAGATTAATCCCAAAGTCCCAGATTAAGTGAAAACTATATTCTGCAGGTTGAATTTATGTTCAAAAAGCTGGAAAAATCAAAATTACATGTACAGAAAACATGTCAGTGGTTGTCAGGTGCTGAGGTAGAGACATGACCACACTGACCTGCAAAAGGTCACATGAAATATTTGAGGTAAAATAAATATTTTAAACCATTCATGTAATGATGGTGGTGGGTATGTGACTATAAATTTGTCAAAAATCAACATATTATATCCTTAAAAGTGCCTATTGTGTATAAATCACCTCAATAAAATACTTTCTAAAAATATGTATGTGGGCATATAGCATATAAATAATCTCAGTTTGAAAAGCATCTTAATATTTCAATACTTTGTGAACATTTCTTACGTTAAGTGTTCCAAGTTTTTAGTTCATTAAGGCTTTAAGTGTGTCTCTAAACTTTACTTTAAACAAACACCCAAGAGAGTCACTTAGGAGACCTTAACTTTCTAACTGTGATTAGTAACTTCAGTTCTAACATCCCAGGATTGCAGTAATAATAATTAACCTTTTTTTAATCCCAGAATCCCAAGAGCCATTCTAGACCAAATCTCTAAATATGACTGTAAAATCTTTAATGCTGGAATCACTTCAATATCCAGAAACTAATATTATTTCCAGAGGAAAGAAAAAGTAAATATGTCTAAAATCAAGTCACAATATGCCTGATGAATGAACAGAAGTGACTAAACAAAATAAAGGAAGTTTTTAGACAGTTCAAATGCAAATATGAATTTTTTGACGATCAAGATCATTGAAGTGAAATGATGTGCCTTTAAAAATAGTTTCACATCACTAGACAACAGAGACAGTACAGAATATTTTAGCGCCAGACTATCTCATAATGCCCTTTTGTTCTCTTCTAACCCAAGAGTCTGTGGTTTGAAGAGTTCCAAGTTTCTGGATAGAGGCATAGAAGATATAAAAATTAACTGAGTAGACAGGAAATTATATCCTCACAAGTGAGAAAAAATAATCTAAGATTTAGGAAGATTTCAGTCAGAAAGTCTTTCAGTCTTTTTGCCAGAGATAGAAACTGGAAGTCAGAGAACCTACTCTTAATGCACTGGGTCTGACTTTATCACTAAACTCACCATTCTGCTTTGTTGGCAAAAATGTGATCCAGACAACAAGCTGCTTGAAACTCAGGAAGATATTCTGAATTAAGATTCACCGAATGTGTAAAATAGATGATTAAATGATAAAATAACACTTGGAATTTAGTATTAGTCAAAACTTAGACTTTTTTCCTGGGACCAGACATTAGAGAAGGACAGATTTTCATTCAATGGAGGTGGATGAAGTACTTCGGCAAAAACTGAATAACCGTTGGGTGTGATTTTAAAGAAAGTGATGTATGTTATATGAAAAAGAGTCTCAGAGTAAGATTGAGAGAAATTTATATGGAATACAAAGTTGAAGCAATAAGAATGTAAAGAATAATGGATGGAAGGTTTGAGAAGAAATACCACAATTTTGAGGTTCTTAACATATTTGAATGAAGAAAATATCAGTTGTTCTACAATCAGTATGATGTAAGTACATTTTATTTTGCATGTATCCATATTTATATTTTATACAGTCTGAATCTTAATATATGGGTTTGCATGCGTATTTTATAAGTTAAAGTCCAATTACTGCCCTGCCAAAAAAACTAGTGATAGCAAAGTCAAATGTAATACCTTTGCTATAACTATGTAAATTCGTGTGTTTAATGTACCTCAGTTACAATTGAACTTTTTCACATTTTCCTTATAGCATCTCAGACCTACCCATCTCCGAATCTTAGTCCTTCTCTCTTCATCCTTCCTCAGCCCTATGTTCTTAAAGACATATTGAACATCAAGGTTAGGACCATCAATCTGACATCACAGCCATCCTCATTTTAGAGATGAGGAAGACAAGACCCAGGCTGCTTTAGAGTCTTATTAGAGATCATGAACTTCTAAGTGGCCAAACAAGAAATATAACACAGGTTCTCTGATTCCAAGACCTACTATACTCTCCATCTTTTTCCTACGGCCAAATTCTTGAAATGTGCAATTTTATGCAAATTTTTAGGATCCACAGGAAAAAAATGGTAGTGAGGAAAATGACCAGAAAAAGAAAGCCTACATTTGTCAAGGTTATAGTTAAATTGTGATACACAGGTTGTCGTGGTCCAGAGTCTTTCCTCCTGGACATGATGGGATCCTGAGGTCTAATAGAGACCATTTGTAATAGAAAAGGCTAACACAAACTTGGGTGTTTTTTGTTTCACTATCGTGAATTTGAGAGCCTCTACAAAGGAGAGCATTTTTAATTTTTCTCAGAGAAGTCTATTTTACCTAAATAAGGCAAAATAGAAAGTTCCCAATGCCATTTTTTTTCCCAAAGGTATATGATCCTGTGATAACCATAGCAAAGAGCAACTCTGATTTCAAACATCCCATATTTTTATTATTAAAAAATGGCATAAAAACAGAAAAAGAGACTCAGATGTATAGAACGGACTTGTGGACTCTGGGAGAAGGCGAGGGTGGGATGTTTCAAGAGAACAGCATTGAAACATGTATATTATCTAGGGTGAAACAGATCACCAGCCCAGGTTGGGTGCATGAGACAAGTGCTCGGGCCTGGTGCACTGGGAAGACCCAGAGGGATCGGGTGGAGAGGGAGGTGGGAGGGGGGACCGGGATGGGGAATACATGTAAATCCATGGCTAATTCATTTCAATGTATGACAAAAACTACTGTAATGATGTAAAGTAATTAGCCTCCAACTAATAAAAAAAAATGGCATAATGCTTTGAAGATATCAAATTATTCAAATTTTACAATATCAGAGGGAAATTAGGTTCCTATCAGGGCCATCAAAGACTATATAAGCTAGAAGGAAAATAGAGGATATTATAGAGGAGGTGGAACAGTTTACTAGATAAGTGGAAGAATAAATAGAATAGATGAGATGTAGCTTCATGAATATCCACAGTATTCTGTTAAGATACCTGTCATTCTCCAGTTCAGTGATGAAGGTGTGGAGGGCCAAAGAAAGGGAAAGTTAAAATGTTTCTACTTCTCTATAAAGTGTACTCTATGTTATTATTAGACTAAACCTCAGTATGAAGGACTTACTTCTCTATAGCTCAAATGGTAAAGAATCTACCTGCAATGAAGGAGACCAGGGTTCGATCCCTGGGTCAGGAAGATCCTCTAGAGAAGGGAATGACAATGGAGAATCCCATGGACAGAGAAGCCTGGTGGGCTAGAGTTCGTGGGGTCACAAAGAGTCAGACACAGTTGAGTGACTAACATACACACACACACACACAAACCTCAATAACATTAATACTTTTTCACCTAGATACGGTTACGCCTTTCCTGCAGTAGTAAACAGCTGAGAGGTTTATTATCTGGGTGCAGGAGCAGTAGGAGAGGAGTGAATATTAGAATATTTGTGATGGAAAGAGTTCCTGCTGGTATCAAGACCTTATTTCAGTAGGTGAGACTCTTCGGAGAACTTTGATAACATGAAAATGAAACAAATTGCCTTGAAACAATTTGGAAGATTATGAGAGAAATGGAATAATGCATCTTGCAATTGTAAACTGTTCTCTTTCATACTAGACTTTTTCCTTCCTGAGACCCTGTCTCTAAACCCTGAAAGATCAGATCTATTAGGCACCTTGGTGTTTGGGTTCCTTTCTCATGCCTAGCTTCAACATTTTAACAATCAGGTATTTATTAATAGAACTACATGGATGCCACACTAACAGCAAAAGAAAAGATGACACTCACCATGAGGGTACAGTTATAATACAATCTGTATTTGATACATGAAAATGCAGGCTTCTGAGTTTACCTTTGCTGAGCAGCTGCAACTTTTTGCATGGGAGGAGTACATCAATTCTGATCTATTTATTTAATAAAATATGAGTGCTGTTTGTGCCCAAAGAATAGTCATTTGAGTAGAAAGGATGCTGACCCTCAGTGGAAGTAAAAGATGTATTTAGACTAGAAAGGAATATGTAGATGATCAATACTCATTTATAGATGTGGGGCCAAGGATTAAAAAGAACATAAAAAGAGCTCTCCTACAAATTCACCAGCAAGTCAAGCTATTCAGATCCAATTACATTCAAAATTTACTCTTAAATAGATGGAAGCTATTATGCATTTTGTAAAGGAATTTACTTACCCAGAAATGTCAAATAATTCTACGAAACCAACATTTCCTAATTTAAAACAGGGAAGGTGAGTACTAAACTCTTACTATTAAAATAATACAGATTGTTAGATTTGTACAATAAATAAGTATTGAACAGCAATGAAGAAGCAAATGAAGGAGCAGAAAAGGTCACAGTCAAATTTTCAGATGGGAATTTGCTCAGAAGAGCATGTCTTTAAAGCAAAAACAGCCGCTAGGAATAACGTATCCCAGCTAGAGCCTGAGGAAAATGCTTTCCTTTAAAGAGGAACCAGGTGGGCTCTAAGCTTAGAAAGAACCCAGCTCAGGGTTCATAATTTTCTTCTTTTAACTTGAAACCAAAAGATTATTCACAAAATATTACAACAAAGGACAGTGGGTCAATTGCATCCTATAGGCATGCAATAGATGTTCAGCAACTTTGAGCAGTATTCAGAGATAAGCTGAATGCTTCAAACACTATCTGCAACCTTTTTATTTATTTTTTATTTTTTGGCTACAATGTGAAGCCATGTGGGATCTTACTTCCCGGACCACTGGACCATCAGGGAAGGCTCTCTGTTCCCATTTTTGAACTACTATTAATAATGTGATCGTCCAGTGGCTGAAAAGAATATATGGTATAGAAGTCTTATTTGTAGAAACCTGTTAAGAGTCACTTGGAGAATGGGAGGATAAAGTCTATTGTCCATGTAGCCATAGACATAACATTGCAAAGAACAAAAGAGAAGAACATTGACCATTTTCCCAAAGATGTTTTTCAAAATATATAAAATTGGTTTCACAAATTATGATACATATATTATTGACCTTGTATATTATACATACATATATATGATACATATATTATTACTTCCATAACAGTGTAGATATTTTAAAACATATATGATTATAGCAAATTTTAAAAATATAAAAACCATGGGGAATTCCCTGGCAGTCCAGTGGTTAGACTTGGTGCTCTCACTGTCAGGGTTCAGTCCCTGGTTGGGGAACTAAGATACTACAAGGCTCGAAGCAAGGCCAAAAAAAATTAAATAAATAAATAAATACCACAGAACTTTATGGAGAATTCAATTACTACTAAATTAAAATAATATATGTCCAACCTGATATTGTATTACCTCAACACATATAACAAAGGTAAGTATAAATAGAAACAAATATAAGTTCCCTCTCATTTGACTGCACAATTTTCATTTCTCTGCTCTTTGATTTAAGCAATACCTGAAAACTTGAAAAAACCTCAAGAAAACTAACTCAGCTTTATTAGCTTTCCGTTTTCTCCATTTTCCAAATTGATTGACTTGATTCTCAGGTAGGTTTCTCCTCTTATGCTCAGAACTTAGCTTGGAAAACAGTAGGTCAGGAAGAGGGAAGTAGAAAAGAAGCATTGTATAAAAAAAGAATAAAAAGGTCACCAAGCTTTATGGAACTATGAAGATAATTTCCATCAACCAAAAATTTTAAATATGGCAAGACTCTTTGGAGAACACGTGTCATTTATCCAAGATCCTACATTTATTAGGGTCAGAGACAGGATGGAAACAAATCACTCTTGACTCTCCATTCAGAGCTCTTTCTACTGCATCTTCTCGATGCTATGGGGAGTTTAAAGCCTATTTAATCTGACTTTCATCTTTATATTCTGTTTTTATTTTTTCAGAGACATGCTGCCCACCTTCCTCTGCACTCAATGGATGTGCAGAATCAGACCACAGTGACTGAATTTATCCTGACCGCCTTCCCTGCTCTCCAGAAGCTTCAGATTTTCCTCTTCATGGTCCTCTTGTTTACTTACTTGCTCACTCTAATAGGAAATGGTGTCATCATTTCCCTAATATGGACTGATAATCGCCTCCAAACCCCAATGTACTTCTTCCTCAGTAATTTGTCGTTTTTGGACATTTTATTCACTAGCTCAGTTACCCCAAAACTGTTATCCTTTCTCCTCAAGGACAGGAAGACCATATCTCTTGCAGGTTGCATCAGCCAAACATACTTCTTCTTCTTCCTGGGCACAGTGGAGTTCATCCTGCTGGTGGTGATGTCCTTTGACCGCTATGTGGCCATCTGTAACCCCCTGCGCTACACCGTCATCATGAACAGCAGGGTGTGTCTCCTGCTGGTTCTGGGCTGCTGGGTGGGGGCCTTCCTGTCGGTGCTCTGCCCGGTTATTCTGCTGTCCAGGCTGCCCTTCTGCCAGAAGGAGATTAATCACTTCTTCTGCGACATCGCCCCCCTGCTGCAGGCGGCCTGCATAGACACTCGTCTCCTTGAGAGGATAAGCTTCCTCTTGTCTTCTCTCATCCTCCTGACCTCGCTGGTGATCACCACCGTGTCCTACACCTACATCATCTCTACTATCCTGCGCATCCCCTCGGCCCAAGGGCGTCAGAAAGCCTTCTCCACCTGCGCGTCTCACATCACTGTCGTGTCTATTGCCTACGGGAGCAACATCTTCATGTATGTGAGACCAAGCCAGAGTCATTCCCTGGAATTTGATAAAGTGACTGCTGTCCTCACCATAATGGGGACCCCTCTCCTGAACCCCTTCATTTATAGTCTAAGGAATGAAAAGGTAAAGGAAGTTTTGAGAGATGCAACCAACAAAATTGTGTCCTTGTTGCACAGGAAACCTTGAAAGGTTGCTTGCTAAGAATGGCATTTTCACGTCTTGGACACAATGTGGAGTAAAGCATGCTTGAAGACCATAAAATCAAAAATATGTGAGAAGAAATGAAAAAGTTTTGTGCCTCATCTGATGCAACGTATTACAATCAAGGTCCAGAACAGACAAGTCAGACATCAAGAAAATAACATGGTCTGAACCTTAATTGGACCGTCTCTCACACAGAACTGAATGAAATAAAGAAAAATACTGAACTAGAGTCAGAAAACCTGAATTTTAAGCCTGACTCTATCACTTTTTTGTCAGGTAACAAGTAACCTCTCTAATCTTAGTTTCTCATCTGTGGAATGGGGAATATGGTTTGTACTTTTTCTTTTTTTTAGATAAAGTAGGATTAACGGAGATAATCTAAGTCATGCAACTACATGTAACTAAAAGTGAATCTTCTGAGTGTTTTAAGAATTTACAAGATGATGGGAATCATCCCTAACAGCCAAATACTGTAAATAATAATACAAAAACAGGGAAAAGGGTTAACATAAACTTGTGTTTGTACATGTAATTAAGTATATACATTTAACCCTCTTAACAACCTTGAGAAGCAGATTTTTTTTTTTTTTTTTTTGGCCACACACCACCTCTGCTTGTGGGCTCTGGGTTCCATAACCAGGAATTGAACTCTTGACAGTGAAAACATGGAGTCCTAACTATTGGACTGCCAGGGAATTCTTAAGAAGCTGGTGTTTTTTTCTCCATTCTACAGAGGAGAAAACTGAGGTTCACTGAGATTAAGTGTCTTTCCCCAAACAGATCACTAGTTTTGAATATATATATATATTTATATGCATATATACAGGTACAATGGGGACAAGCATCTAAAAAGAGAGCCTAAGGGGCTTTCTGAGCAGTCCAGTGGTTAAAACCCTGTGCTCCCAAAGCAGGGGACAAGGGTTCAATCCCTGGTCAGGGAACTAAGATCCTGCATCCTGCATGGAATGGACAAAAAGATAAAAAAAAATAAATTTAAAAAGAGAAAGAGTTTAGGAAGAGGGAGAAGACAAGAGGCATCTCAGAGATCAAAATTAAGTCATTACCAATGTGGTCATGAATCTTCCGGCTACACAGACAAAGATGAAGACCTTAAGAATCGGCAGAGAATCTGTCATGGGAGAGCAGGAAGAGAAAGTACTGTCTTCAAAATAGATTCAGAATATTATGAAAGAACAATATCCAAAAAGAAAGAATATTGTCTGTCAAAAAAGTAGAGCAGTGGACAAATGTTGACAGATCACAAGAAGATAGAAGGGGACAGTTACTGGTGGTCCAGTGGTTAGGACTCTGCACTTTCACTGCCAAGAGTCTGGGTTCAGTCTCACAAAAATAGAACAGAATCATCAGGAATGAAGCAGTCACATAATTTTCTGCTCTGTATTCATACTCAGACATTAATTAAAATGGGGTTTTGAAAGCTACTACATTTGTGTCCTATTGACACCATAACAAAATTAGCAGCTAAAACAATACAAATTGACTATCTTAGAGTTCTGCAGCTCAGAAGTCCAATACAGGTCTCACCAAGCTAACATTTGCAGACTGCATTCCTATCTAGGAGCCCTAGAGGAAAATCCATTTCCTTCTTATTTTGGGTTGTTCTTGAAGTTTAGGACCAGGGCCCTAGTATGCTGCTGCTGCCAGCCATCGGCCAAGGATCAGTCCTAGTTTCTAGAAGGTACTGCAGTCCTTGACTCATGGCCCCCTCTTCCTCCACCTTCAAAGCCAACAACAAGGGGGGCAAGCCTCTCTCTGATGTGTCAGATCTCTGCTCCTTCCTCTTCCATCTCCTCCCTGACTCAGCTGGAAAACATTCTTCCTTTTTAAGGACTCATTTGACTGGACTGAGCCCAGGCAAATAAACCACAATAATGTCACCAACACAAAGTCCACATCCTGAGTTACTTCTGTAAAGTCCCTCTTGCAACAAAACTAGCATACAGGTGACCCTCCACCTCCATGGGTTCCGCAACTACTGATTCTACCCACCGTCAATCAAAAGTATTCAAAAACAATTAAATTCCAGAAAGTACAAAAACCAAAATTTAAACTTACCACACACTGGCAACAATTTGAATACCATTTACATTATTAGGTTTTATAGGTGATCTAGAGATGATGTAAAGCTTCAGGAGCATGTGTGCAGGTTTTTAGGCAAATACTAAGCCATTTTATATATGGTGGCTTCCCTGTTGGCTCAGCAGTAGAGAACCTGCCTGCCAATGCAGGACACAAAAGAGACACAGGTTCAATTCCTGGGTGGGGAAGATCCCCTGGAGAAGAAAATGGCAACCCACTCCAGTATTCTTGACTGAGAAACCCCATGGACAGAGAGCCTGGTAGACTACAGCCAATGGGGGGTCACAAAAGAGTCAGACGACAATAAAAACAACTATGCTATTTTATACAAGGGTCCTGGACCTGACCACCTTCGAATACCAAGGGACAAGCGTACTCATAGATTCTGGAGATTGAACAAGCATTACCTTAGGTGCCATTATTCTACTTACCAGGGCTTCCCCTAGTGGCTCAGATGGTAAAGAATTTGCCTGCAATGCAGTAGACCCAGATTCAATCCCTTGATTGGAAAGATTCCCCGGAGAAGGGAATGGCTACCCACTCCACCAATGTTAAATTGCTAGTGCTAATAATACACGGATGTAAAAGTAAAGAACAGGATTTTTTTTAAGCCAATACTAACTTCTAAACTCTGTCTTTCATCACTTGAAACCAGAAGAATTTACAAGCCCCAGGATATGAAAGATTAATGAAAAGCAGCAAAATATCTGGAAAATTCTTATTGTAACAGTTATGTTTGTTTCTACTTAAATCATGGTTAGGTAAAATTTTATAAATTCATATTGACCAATATTTGAGAGAAACTTTATCTGTAAATTTTTGATCACCCTCTAATTGATTCATCATTTCCAATGGACTATAGTTATGCTATTTTTTTTTCAAAAAAAATTAATTTATATGCAAAATGAAAATCAATTTTATATAATGCTATTTTAACTGAAGTGTTAAATCAGAAAAACCAAAAGTAAATACAGGTAAAAGATAGCTGAATAAAGGTTGAAGAACAATTCCTGTAACTCTGCTTATATCCTAATTCACTAGTAAATCCATTGCCATTATTTAACCTGAATTGTTATTAAAATGCAATGATTTTGCAACAAAAAAATCATTGTTAGGTGACAATAAATATAGTTGGCACGTTTCAGTGTTTTAACTTTTTAATGAATTCCCATGTTACTCAAAAGTCCCATACTGAGATCATTAACATAGCAAAGAAAGTCTTCAACAAATAAGGTAATTTAAACCTAATTCAGTGGGGCTGGCCTGGGGTTGGACCAGCCTTGAAACTGAAAGCACAAAGACTTCATAAACTCTTAAAAATAGTGTAAATATACTGTTGCACTTTTTTGTTAATTATTATTATTACCAACATTGTTATAATTGCAGGTAATGATATTTGTTTAATCAGTGTGATGATACACTGATTCTAGTTAATTAAGTTACTTGGAAAATGGGAACTACTTGTCCCAAATTTGGGGATAGCTAGAAAATTCTTCACTCTTCTTATACTCGCCTGTAAATAGATGTTTCAAACTATTGTTTTTCAGTATCAGAGATGGAAGGGAAAATTACGACCTGACCTGACCTGTAGAGATTTTAAACAGTATCCACTTGCTAAATAAATTATATCCCTTCAACTATGGATAAAGAGCATTCAACCAGAGAACCACTGTGTTATGTAATGAATTCATTGATCCTTCCACTTCCCAGCTAATTCTCACATATTCCTTCCTCCAAACCCAGTTGTAAAAAACATGATCATCTCTCCCATAAGATCACAAGGATTCTCAAGGACTATAGCAAAATGTGCCAAATAGTTTATTTTGGGGTTTGTCAAGAGTAACACAGTTTTCTCCATCAGCCTTCTCTTGCCCTTGGAATGGGATTTATGCTATTGGCTCTCAGATCCTCACGTCTTCAGACTTGATCTAGAATTACAGCACCAACTTTCCTGGGTCTCCAGCTTGCAAATGGCAGAATTGAAACTTAACCTCCATAATGATATGAGCCAATTCTTCATAACAAATATATATGTGTGTGTGTGTATAACAAATCTATATATATATAAAACAAATCATCATATAATAAATATATACATACACACACGTGCACACCCCATTGGTTCTGTTACTCTGAAGAACATTGTCTAATACAGTAATTTTCCTTTTTTAAGAGCTTTTAAATTTTCGGAGCTTTTAAAACTTTGGAATCTTGTGTTAATTTATAGTATAGAAAAAATAATAAACATAATTTTCACACAACAGAAAATATATATTAGAAGGATAATCAAATTCAGGTATTCCCTGGAGCAGGAGTTACATTTAATAACTTTTATTTACAATTCAAGAGAAAATATTCCAAAAAAAAAATATTATTGGAACCCCTTCATAAGGACCTACTACAAGTCCTCGAAAATTTCTGCATCTTAAGAGCCCAGTTATTTTTAAATTATTAATGTGATTATATGTTCAAGGAATTGAATGTTTTTATTCTTGAAATTATGAATTAGAAAACAGAACTTTAGGAAGGTGTTCTGAAAAAACCTAAATGGAATATTCCTTAGTGGCCATTTCCCATTTCTTGCATTGCAGAAAATATGTGACAGTTATTGTGTTGATACACAGTTCAAATTTTTTACAGTAATCTAGGACTGTATTATTTCCAATATATTTGCAATAATACAGCCTGCAAAGTATCACCATTGGGAAGAAGTTAGCCTCACAAATGAAAGGTTGAAATTAGACATCCATGAAGAGAAGACTGTCTAGGTCTTGGTTAATTTAAAACATACCACGCTGGTGGTACAGTGGTTGGAAGTCCGTCTGCCAAAGCAGGCAACCCAGGTTGATCCCTTGTCCAGAAAGATTCCACACGCCTTGGGG